GAATATTTCAACAGTATTTTGGAAAATGTCAATTAATTTTGTCAGGTCATTTTATCTAATATATACGCGTTTTCATATACGTTCATTATACATGTATCGCACTCTACATAGATTTGATATTTTACGGGATTTTTAATTAATATGAAATATAAAGCTCTCAAACAGACTTTACATGTAACCAACTCTTCTGTAGATCTTTTTTGTTCACATCTTGCCGTTCATCGATTTCGTGTTTGAATTAAGGTTCTGCATACATGTCAGTATTTACACATAAGTGAAAAACCTAAATGTAATATTAAATGAAAGTATTCTTCGAGGTCATAGTAGATTTTAACTGCTTGTACTTGAGATAATGATGTTCACTTATTCAATAGTTTCATTAACGTAAGCTTTGTTAATTATTTTCGTAGTTTCACACTGACGATGTCTTTGATTAGAGAAAAAATAAATGAAGGTTTGAAAGGTAAACTTGGAGAATGCTGATCAAAAACAAATCCCTATCAATGTAACACACCTGATTTTTCGAAACAAATGTAAATGAAAACTTAAAGCAACGAAAAATATAGAAATTAGATCCTTTTTATTCTGGTAAGATAAAGGTAATATAATCAACATTCATTCATTTTACAAATTTTGTCATTTCGACAAATACCGGTCATCAACATATTTGCGAGCGAAAAAAAAATTAGAGATTTGGTTTCTGAATATGCTTCTATAGCACTGTATTCAGAAATTTGTACTTTAGCAGCACAATCCAGTCATTTTCTTTGTCTCTAGTACCCATTTTATATCTTATGGGTGGCTATAGTTATTACAAACACTATAAGGCTTTATCTAATACTTTTACAATTACCGCATACATACGTGATCATCTGTTACTTATGAATTATGGTAAGATGGCATTCCATGATTTAGTAGCATACATATTGACATGTTTATGTAGGAAAAAAATGCAGTGTTATCAAAATAATAATAAAGGAATGTCATTATCATACATAAATGCTAAAAATACTCTTTGGTAGACATTTCCTGGCTTGCAATACAGACAACTGACCTCTTTGTGTGTTTAGGCGTTTGTTTTTTTTAAAGATATAATACGACAGATTTGCCTTCCTTTCTTGATATTTGTAATTTGGTGGTCAGCGACATGTTAGTTATAACGTCAGAATGTCGCTTTACTGAATAAATATAGATGACGCTGACACTACTGTATTTGACTTGACGTATTTTCTACCAACTGATTTTTGTCAGCATGTTGTGTAATAGATATCACAATCAGTTCATCAAGTAAAACATTTGATGCGAAAAGGTATATTTTTGCGCTGCAGAAATAGTATATCTGGTATTGTTAAAACTATTTTCAGTTATAAAAAATGAAACTATAGGTAAAACGTTTGAACAGCATTTGTACATGATGGGTGTATTTTCTTTACGTATCCGTGCTACTTTCTACATTGTTAGGCACGTGTACTAGCAATATCTTCTTTTTTATATATAAACTACAAAGGATAATACTGTAAATCACATATATCTCGCGTGGTATTTATTTTCGCGTTTTATATATCTGAGGAGTCAATACATGTTGATTCTGTTACTGATATCGGCGTCTGTTCTCTAACAGCTCATCATTATTGAATTTAAAATAATTTCTTTATCAGCAATCGCGAAATTATGTATTCGCAAAAATGCCTGAAGAGATATGTTCGCGAAATGAAATATATATGTGAAATATAAATAAATCACAGTAGCCAAAAATATTTTTTGCATTTCGAACGAAAGAAAACTACATTTAGAAAAAAATATTTTGTGGTGGTTGATATTAATTTTTTTTCAACTATTTTTTATGGAATAACTGACAGATTGTACTTATAAATATTGTGATGAATTGTTGTTTCCATGACATCTGTGTACACGTGATGTAACTATTAACGACATTAACTATTCGTCACATTGGTAACGAGACTGACCAAACAGCATATCTTACAAAATGCAGACCACATATCCATGAACTTTTAGCCCGAAGATTAATGGAAAAGTTCAACAGGTGATGACGTGATTCGCTTTTATACAGCTGACTGAATAGTAATATGTATAAGTACTGGGTCAGTTGTGTAACCATACTGTGTGAAAATGTTATCGATAACGATTCGATTAATGAAATCTATCATTTGAAAAGACAATCAAAATTCTTCATCTATACAATATGTAGGTCCTATTTATTAATGATGTTAATAATGTCGAGAAAATCGTTGATGGAAATAATCGTTGTGGAAACTCCAGTCCATCTTGAAATACTCTTTCTTCTATAATGTTGTTTCAAAATCGTATTGAAATCTGTATTTTAAAAATAATCTATAACAAAGAAACTTGTAGATTCATTATTTTTGTGATACCATTAATAATTCATAATAGTATTGTTTTATTGCCTTACCAAACCACATATATTGAAAAAAAAATCAAGAAATAAAAAACCTCCTGCCCTTTGATATACACTCCAGGAAGGTCAAAACAATGAACGTGATGACCATTGTGGTCATTACCTGACCTAAAGAGAGCCATGCAATCTAATATATATCGATCACGGGGCCTTGTAGCTCCAGGCCATTGTCAAACTATGCGGTTCGGGCGTAGATTAAAAAAACCGCAGGCATATGTATCATACTAAACTGTACATGTTTGACAGTTCAGCACCGTACCGCAAGTAAATGACATTCAGTGCATATACGATATATTTTGTTTAACTATCGCGTTTCCAACTTTAGATATGAATTAATTGTTTTTAGAATTTTAATTAACAAATTATTACTGATTTACTAGCTTGTATTTTTCCTTTTTATAACTAGTAAAGTGGCCGTTAAAATTCGCAAATTAATATTTTGGAAATATATTTCTATACATAAAAATTGTAACGAAATGATATTTCAAATGTTTTTGTTGAAAATTACACATGAAAGCTTAGAATATATACAAATTATTACATATTACTTCATATTTATTTATTTCCACGCCATGAATATATCAGAACATCCGAACAAATAAAGATTTCATCGCGAATTCGTCAAGTAGACAACAGCAATTACTGATCAATATTTCATGTTGTATAAACACGTGGAAAACCTTGTTGTCTAAAGTACCAATGTATGTATAACTGTTCGGTCGTTAACACGTTAGGGCGACATTAACAGGACATATTGTATGTAACATAGGGATACTTGTTTATGTATGTCGATATATGATATTTACTGATGTTCAATAGGTTTGGAGGTGCAGAAATCCCATGATTGAAAAAAAAAATCGCAATTCTTCTATGTCTGACCATTTATGAAGAAGGTTAAGTACATGTACATGTGTATTTTTCTGAACCGAAGCACGTCGTTCTGTTATCGCTGTTTTTGTTTTATGATATTATATATCAAACATCTGTTCGCCTCATATTTTTGAAAATAAACACTTGACGATAATATTTTTATTTTGTTCGGTTCTGCATTTTGTGATTCTGTGGCAACCGTGAAACACAAAAAAATCATACAACAACAACAACAACAACAACAACTAATGACTACTATAGGTTAGGAGAGTTGCATCAAGCGCGCAAGTACAAACAATCCGTGATCTCAACATTCCGAAAAAACCCAAAAATTCCCCTTGTAGGGAACACCTGAACCCCTCTTTTGTATTCAACAAATTTTACTCAATATAGAAATGTTGACAAAAAATAACTTGTTATTTATGCTTCAGTTCACATACATGTAAATACCGATTAACAAATTACGACGAGGAGGACAATGATAATTATGGTGATAATTGCACGCACTAATTGTCCCCTTGATGCTGTTAAAATTATTCATATATCACAACATTAACCATATATATTTAGAGTTCTGTGTATATCGCAATATAAGCCAAACATATTTTTGATTGACGTGGTCTTTGTGACATTCGTTGTTAATAAAAACCTTAGCAACGCTAACTACTTCACACATAAACAAATGGCTTTAAGCTGTGCATGGTTGACTGTTGACAGGTCATAATTTCATCACTATGTACGTATTTGTCGTTTATAGATTTCATCAAGAAGAAAGGGTCACAAGAAGCAATGATTTATGATATATTTAATTACAACTCTGACGTATTAATTAAACAGCACATAAAACCATAATAAAATTGTTACTATTATTTTACTTAATACTTCACACTTCCGTCTCGAATGCAACACTGCTGACAACACCTCTTAAATCACTGTAAAGACAAGGCAGCTGTCAGTATTTTTATCGTATTAACGACTCGGAAACTCGCTGGATGTGCCATTTACAAATGTGTGTCTTGTAAACATACATATATGTACATTACAGGTGGTTTCCTAGATGCTAGATATTATTATTGTATATTCTTTGTATTGATGTAGCATAGCACGCCCAACTTAATCTAGAAAGCAGTTCACAACTGGTGACGGGTATATTTATAATTAACCTGGTTAGGTGAGATCTTAACCTGCCCTAGGCCAATGATCTTTCTGTTCGAAGTTCCCAGTCAACCGCTGGTGTTTTCCCCCATAAATGATCTGTTATTTTTCGGTTGATTTTATGTTTGTAACTTAATTATCTAGATTTAGTGTCACCTATACCACGTCGGTTGATTCCGATTCCATTTAAATGCCATTGGTATAATTAGGTACCTACAGAAAGTTTTACTAATGCCACTAGCATCTTTCAAAAGAAATTCGGATGAAATAATTCTTCGAAGATCAAGTAGACAATCGTATTCCAAACCATATACGATTTTTCTTAATTTCATGAATGTTTTCCTATCCATTCTAACCATCACGAAATTAAAAGAAACACTCTCAGACATTGATACCGTCGATGATATCTAAATAATGTTCGTCTTTCTTCATTTTTCCTGCTTTATTTGTATTCAATTATTGATAGAATATAGGACGAAAATTCTTCTAAACCCATTTAGAACTAATACAAGCTTACTATTCTTCTTTCAGACTCAAGATGGCGTCCGTTATCAGGATGAGCTTCACTAGTCTCGTGGCAGTTGTCTCCCTTGTACAATTCTGTGTATCACTTCCACAATCGGTCAGTTTCAAGAATTCTGCTGTTTTATCCGATATGATATCCCACTCCATAAAAACTGCAGTGAAAGAGCTGGAGATAAAGAAACACTTCGAGGAACAGCATTTCCATTCCGGTATGATACGAATTTATGAAAAATATGATAATTCAACTGCAAATTTGACGTGGGAAACATTCAACTCTGCGTAACATTACTGAATCTTTATCCTTCATTTCTTTACTCTGTATCAGCCTTTGGATAAAGAATCTTTAACGAGATATCTAAAAACCAGAGGTTGTATGTTATTTTTTCTGTTTTAGGAAATGACCGGAGGTTATCTGAAGGTCATTTGTGGCACCACGCACGATTCATGTTTTCTGCAGATAGAGGAAAATTATCGCAACTGAATGACAAGGCCTACATCAGTCTCCGAGCGACCAAGGAGCTACTCCGCATGTAAGATAATATTTTATACAGCTGTTACATATTCTTATGGGGCTCAATTTTCGTGGATAAATATCACTGAAACGAACAGGTTGTAGACATAGAAATTCGTTCAGTAAAGGTATCCACGAAATAAACGAAATATTCACAATGAATCGAAAAAAAGTTGCTTTTATTATTAACACAAATAATCATGATGGAATAACAATTTTCCATTGCATATGAGATATAGGAAATCAAATTTTGTCTTCATTCTCTTGCCAGCTGATAAACGAAAAAAGAAAAGAAAAAAAAGAGAAAACCACATGAAACAGAATGGACTTAAAAACGATTTTGTATCACCGTGGTGATCATGATAGATCAAGCAAATATTGCGAAATATATTCTTTTTCGTATCAAACATTACATAATATTTGCTCACTATATATGAACCTTGTGATGTCACTATGCAATATACGATTATGTGACATTATTTCCTGATTTGATGCTGACGTCACAATAATAGTTTATAATTTGGATTCATACGCAAAGAAAAACTGCAATCATGCGCTGATTCTATATGTCAGCTAAACTAGAAATTTCAAAATCGCCAAAATTTTACATCGTTTTGAACTCCACTTCAGATCAAAAATACCACTGGAAGTACTCCAGTCTGACCCGGAAGTAGTTACAAAATGGCGGAAATGTATTGAGCCATATTGTAGCTGCCCACTGCCACGATGTAATCCCAAGGACTGCTATCGGTCGGCGGATGGGTCGTGTAACAACCTGGATTATCCCACATGGGGAGCCTCGATGAAACAACAGCTGCGGTACCTACCAGCAGCATATGACGATGGTATGTGTTCAAATGGTAAACATTCTAATTGGTCCTATATTAGGCCAGTGTGCCACAAGGCTCTATTCTTGGACCTCTTCTTTTTCTTAGATATTGATATTGTGGAAAACATCAACTCAATTGACAAATTATTTACAGACGACATATGTATGTTATCATTGATACACTTATGATAAGTGAAGAGATTTTAAACCATGCTCTCCAAAAAATCCATGAATCGTCACAAGATTGTTTAGTGAACTTCAATTCTACTAAAACAGAAGCACTTCTGATAAGCCGGAAAACTGTCATTCCTAACCATCTATCACTAGTAATAAATAATACTCACATTTCCGAAGTAACATCTCACAAACACCTCGACATATTTCTTTCTAATAATGGGAGTTGGAGTATTCACATTAACTACTTACCAACAAAGGTTTCGCCAAAGTTAAATATTTTACGGAAATTTAAGTTGACTTTAGACCACTCTAGCCTTCAAACCTTGTGTTTCTCTCTATTTCGGCCAATATTAGAATACGGGAAAATTATCTGGGACAATCTCACCCAAGCACAATCAGATCTTCGGGAAAATACTCAGAAGCTGTACGCATTGTCACTAGTGCAACAAAACAAGTAGATCCAAACTCTATGCAGAAACTGACTGGCTTCCACTTAACCGAAGACGCAAACATCACAAGATAATTGCTTTCTGTAATTGGTCCATGGAACATGCTGCCAAATAGTGTAAAATGTGATCCATCACTAGGTAGACTCAAAAAACATCTAAACGAGCCTAGCATTAAAGTGCCTCCTTTTTATTGTGCTGGTAGCAGAATGGGTCAGATTCTCCACGCCAGACTACGAATGGAATGCAGTTCCCTCAAATTCTACTCGATTTTACTTACCAGATTTCAACGCAATTACTACTCTTTGGTGGCGAGGAACTGTCTGTAGATGAAAACAATAGGATTTTCTCATGTGTATAAAACTTCATTACAAGTTCAAGAGATTTAATTGACGCTCTTTTACTTAAGATTTGAATTCTGTTGTATTGCCATTAGACTTTTCACATTCTCTCAGCTTTTGCAGTTTATGTCTGTGTGCATTGGTTTTCTAAAATTTAATCTTTTGGCATGACGGGAAACTCCTCCCCAACCTACACTTTCCCTTCCTTTTTCTATTCTCCTCATTCCCAATTAGCAAATTTTATTTTTGCTATGTCTAGACTGTTTATACCTTGCCTTGACAAATTTATATGTTATTATTTTGAAACGGATTAATCGTTAAAAGTTACAGTAGTTAACTTAACATTTGATATTGACATCTTCATACAGTTATTATTGATATCAAATTTGTCAAAGAAACCGTTACCTTCGGAAAGGGAACGATCTTTTTTCTCTTTTTTTTTCGAATAAAAAGGCAAAGACACCGGCAAGAATTCATATTTACTGTATATTAAGAAAATAATTCACAAATTATGTAAAAAAAAAAGTAAGAATAAAACTTACACGGTAAATAAACTCGCTCTCAAATGCAGCTAAAGACAATAACATTTGATATAAACTTTATTCAACTCATTCATAATATAAGCAGTGTACATTAGCCGTCAAAATATATCAATTGAATTAGATATGGAAACAAGTGTTGGGTCACTTATATTAATTTATTAAATAATTTTGATTTATGTCCCGACAACAGTTCATCTGATAAAACAACAGAAAACAGAATAATACAAAGATCCTGATCGTGAACAGCATGAAAAAAAGACCAGTTATACATCTGTTTTTAATATTCCGCTTACCCAATAAACCACCATCATTATCTATATTCATCTCGATACTCAAATGCCTTGTTCAAAACTTAAACACAATTCGCTACTTTCTATAAGCTCTCTAAATTTCTATAAGCTCTCTGAATTTAGTCACCAAGTGTATTAAATAGTAACTTAACCATGACTTGGAATAAGTAGCTGTTGAATACCACCAGTAACTAAAACAATGCTGTTCTTATACAGGAATAAACATGCCTCGAATATTCAGTGTGACTGGCAAACATCTTCCCAGCGCTCGAGTGGTCAGCAATGTGCTACACAGCACTGGCACCTGTCACTTTGACGAGAAAGGTCACTCCGTTATGATGATGTCTTGGGGTCAGCTTATCGACCATGACTTTCAAGGGACCCCTATGACTAAAGGTGAGACAGGGGGTAACCTATAGAGACTGCCGTATTAATCACATACACACCTTGTTATAATGATAGCTTTCACATTAATTTTTTGATAAGAAGTACGTGTAATATGACCTTACAGAGCTGTGATTGGCTGAGGCTTTCCATTGTATCTGTTGTGACGTCATAACATCACATCTGTATCATTCGAATGAAAACTGCTTTTACAACTATTTGTAAAATTTTCAGTTATGTGCCTTAGTTTCCATTAATAGAGAATAAGGAATCTCGTCATAAATTCTTCACCTTACGGCAGAGGATCGATAAAATTAAAAGATATTCTATGAATTAAGGATAAGAAAATATGACAAGGTTATTGCTTTACTGCATACATTTTAACATACCATTATTTTATCTGTATGTTGTTTCTTTTTTTACTTGATGCATATTATAGCTATGCTATTTTGAAAGTAACAATGAAAAACACTTTTGATCATTTTTCACAGGTTTTAACAATTCCGACATTATGTGTTGTTCCCTTGGAGAAGCTGCTGCAGACCAACGGTATTTATAGTTATATGGATATATATATATATATTGCAGGATCGTTTTGTGGCGAATTAGACTGCTAGTTTTGATGAGTGTCGTTTAAATACTACAGTAGCATTGGTGGTATAGATATCATTTTTTCTAGAGTTATGGAACTATATGTATGTTTTATTCTTTTCAATTTTTCTTAATTAAATACCATACCTTTAACAGTTTTATATTTGTACTACACACACTATGTTTATGCAACCCCTCTCAATATTGTTGAAAGTGTTCACATTTTGGTAGTTCTTTGTACAGTAGCTTGTACTTTGCATAGATTTTCAAAAATTAATATTCTGTTTTTTTGACGATTTCGTCTTTACTGTAGCTATCTATCATAGGATGAATTTAATTATCTAAACTATAGTTGTATATTGATAATGATTATTTTTCAACAGGGGTTCATGTTTTCCGATTAAGGTACCAATGCCTGATCCTCGATTCAAATCAAAATGCATGAACTTTGTAAGATCTACAATTGCACCGACGCATTTCTGTGACATGGGTAAGGCGTTTTTTGTGTGAAAGCCTTTTGGCTGAAAATAGAGATATTTTGCTCAAGTAAAATTTTTCTACGTTAAAATCTATCATGCACTGGATCGTAAGGATGCTTAGAAAAATGAGTGATACTTTTGTGATAACCATAATTATTGAAAAGGCAATGAAATATAAGCCTTAAATTATGACTGATTTCAAAGTTAGATCCTAGCTTTATCTTTTCCTTTCATTTCTCATTTCAAGGTCTTAGCAACAAGCTGTTAACACAGTTTAATTCATTAGTTGACTCTACTGTACCAAATTCTAAAATGTTCAATAAGGTGATATTTTCTAGTGTTCCACATGTACAGTTCCTTGTTGTAAAGTTGGAAATGTAAAAGTTGAAGTTATAATGATATTTGTATGCATTACCATAGGCGTGCGTAACCCCGTTAACCAACACTCATCATACATTGACGGCTCCTTACTGTATGGGTCCACACAGGAAGTCCAAAACAGACTGAGAGCCGGCCATGGAGGTAGGTGGACAAGATTACAGTTAATTGGCGAAATCACGATAACCCAGTAGATATATCTACACCTATAATGACGAATACTTGTCAAAAAACAGTCATGTTAAAGATTTTGAAAAATTCGGAAGAAGAGTACAATTCTAAGTTTGGAGAGGCGGACTGAAAAAAATTAAGTAATAAAAGTTTGATAAGTATATTAAATTTCAGTAAGAAAATTACTTACTTTTAATTGATGCTTTTAATTTTAAGGCTTTCTTAAGATGAGTGGCAAAGGTCTATTGCCTCCAGCGGATGGTTCGAAGTGTATGATTTCCAACCCAGGAGAATACTGTTTTGACGCGGGTAAATATAATCTTAATGATTATTTTCTATTCGAGAAAAGAATATTGGAGGAAGAAACGTATCCTTACTTTGAAATGCCAATTACTTTTCTTAAAAAATAGAAGTGAGGTAAAATTACTTGTGGGATTAATATCAAACTATAAGACATTACAGTTTTGATTTTTGTTGGTTTTCCCCTTTCTCCATTGAGGTTTGTTTGCATATTTATTTGTAATTTAATTTCGCTCTGCAGGTGATGATAGAAACTCGGTGGTTCCCACTCTTGGTATGCTTCACACACTCTTTGTTCGAGAACATAACCGTATCTGTAAAAAACTTCAATTCTATAACCCTTATTGGACAGACGAGAAGATATTCCAAGAAGCTAGAAAAATCGTATCCGCTATTCTACAGCACATTAACTACAATGAATATTTACCTCATATTCTGGGTGATGCACATATGAAGTCACACGGCCTGTACTCTGCACCGAAAGGTCATCACACAGTGTATAACCCGAAGATCAATCCCACAGCATCAAACGTTTTCGGAGTTGCTGCTTTTCGGTTCGGACATTCTCAGATTCCGAATCTTCAGGGTATGAAAGATCCACATAGTCACGTGACAAAGACAGTTCCGGTTGAGTTCACCTTTAACAGACCCGCTATGATCTTTGATGACCATGGACTCGGATTCGGAAGGGTTGCCTATTGGCAACTTAACAACAAGCAGGCAAATCAAGATAGGTTTTTACAAGACGGAGTAAGAAATAACCTATTTTTGGATAAAAGAGGAAATAGTTTTGATTTAGCGGCTCTTAATATTCAGAGAGGACGGGATCATGGTATAGCCCCTTATAACGCATGGAGGAAATGGTGCGGACTTAAACCCGCTTTTCACTTTGGTGTTGGACCAGGTGGACTTATCAACCATGATCCAGAATCAGCATTGCTCCTGTCTAAAGTTTACAGGTATGTCGTAAGTATAATGCGGTCAACAGTATTGTGTGGTAGTCAGTATTGTGTTGTCAACAGTATTGTGTGGTCAACAGTATTGTGTGGTCGTCAGTATTGTGGTCGTCAGTAATGTGTGGTCAATAGTATTATGTGGTAAACAGTATTGTGTGGTCAACAGTATTGTGTGGTCGTCAGTAATGTGTGGTCAACAGTATTGTGTGGTCAACAGTATCGTGTGGTCATCAGTAATGTGTGGTCAACAGTATTGTGTGGTAATCAGTAATGTGTGATCGTCATTATTGTGTGGTTAACAGTATTGTGTGATCGTCATTATTGTGTGATCGTCATTATAGTGTGGTCGTCATTATTGTGTGGTCGTCATTATTGTGTGGTCGTCAGTATTGTGTGGTCGTCATTATTGTGTGGTCGTCAGTATTGTGTGATCGTCATTATTGTGTGGTCGTCAGTATTGTGTGGTCGTCATTATTGTTTGGTCGTCATTATTGTGTGGTGGTCAGTATTATGTGGTGGTCAGTACTGTGTGTTCGTCAGTATTGTGTGGTGGTCAGTATTATGTGGTGGTCAGTACTGTGTGGTGGTCAGTATTGTGTGGTGGTCAGTATTGTATGGTCGTCAGTATTGTGTGGTGGTCAGTACTGTTTGGTGGTCAGTATTGTGTGGTGGTCAGTATTATGTGGTGGTCAGTACTGTGTGGTCGTCAGTATTGTGTGGTGGTCAGTATTATGTGGTGGTTAGTATTGTGCGGTGGTAAATACTGTATGGTCGTCAGTAATGTGTGGTCGTCAGTACTATGTGATCGTCAGTGTTGTGTGGTCGTCAGTATTGTGTGGTCGTCATTATTGTGTGGTCGTCAGTATTGTGTGGTCGTCAGTATTGTGTGGTAATCAGCATTGTGTGGTCGTCAATATTGTGTGGTCAGTACTGTGTGGTAATCAGTATTGTGTGGTGGTCAGTATTGTATGGTCGTCAGTATTGTGTGGTGGTCAGTACTGTTTGGTGGTCAGTATTATGTGGTGGTCAGTACTGTGTGGTCGTCAGTATTGTGTGGTGGTCAGTATTATGTGGTGGTTAGTATTGTGCGGTGGTAAATACTGTATGGTCGTCAGTAATGTGTGGTCGTCAGTACTATGTGATCGTCAGTGTTGTGTGGTCGTCAGTATTGTGTGGTCGTCAGTATTGTGTGGTAATCAGTATTGTGTGGTCGTCAGTATTGTGTGGTGGTCGGTAATGTGTGGTCGACAGTATTGTGTGGTCAACAGTATCGTGTGGTCATCAGTAATGTGTGGTCAACAGTATTGTGTGGTAATCAGTACTGTGTGATCGTCATTATTGTGTGGTTAACAGTATTGTGTGATCGTCATTATTGTGGGGTCGTCATTATTGTGTGGTCAACAGTACTGTGTGGTCGTCAGTATTGTGTGGTCGTCATTGTTGTGTGGTCGACAGTGTTGTGTGGTCGTCAGTATTGTGTGGTCGTCATTATTGTGTGGTCGTCAGTATTGTGTTGTAATCAGTATTGTGTGGTGGTCAATACTGTTTGGTGGTCAGTATTGTGTGGTCGTCAGTATTGTGTGGTCAGTACTGTGTGGTAATAAGTATTGTGTGGTGGTCAGTATTGTGTGGTGGTCAGTAGTAGGTGGTCGTCAGTATTGTGTGGTCGTCATTATTTTGTGGTCGTCAGTGTTGTGTGGTCGTCAGTATTGTGTGGTCGTCATTATTGTGTGGTCGTCAGTATTGTGTGGTAATCAGTATTGTGTGGTGGTCAATACTGTTTGGTGGTCAGTATTGTGTGGTCGTCAGTATTGTGTGGTCAGTACTGTGTGGTAATCAGTATTGTGTGGTGGTCAGTATTGTGTGGTGGTCAGTAGTAGGTGGTCGTCAGTATTGTGTGGTCGTCATTATTGTTTGGTCGTCATTATTTTGTGGTCGTCAGTATTGTGTGATCGTCATTATAGTGTGGTCGTCATTATTGTGTGGTCGTCATTATTGTGTGGTCGTCAGTATTGTGTGGTCGTCATTATTGTGTGGTCGTCAGTATTGTGTGATCGTCATTATTGTGTGGTCGTCAGTATTGTGTGGTCGTCATTATTGTTTGGTCGTCATTATTGTGTGGTCGTCAGTATTATGTGGTGGTCAATATTGTGTGGTCGTCAGTATTGTGTGGTCATCAGTAATGTGTGGTCGTCAGTACTGTGTGGTGGTCAGTACTGTGTGGTGGTCAGTATTGTGTGGTGTCAGTAATGTGTGGTGGTCAGTACTGTGTGGTGGTCAGTATTGTGTGGTGGTCAGTATTGTGTTGTCGTTAGTATTGTGTGGTCGTCAGTACTGTGTGGTGGTCAGTACTGTGTGGTCGTCAGTAATGTGTGGTCGTTAGTATTGTGTGGTGGTCAGTACTGTGTGGTGGTCAGTATTGTGTGGTCGTCAGTAATGTGTGGTGGTCAGTACTGTGTGGTGGTCATTATTGTGTGGTCGTCAGTAATGTGTGGTCGTCAGTATTGTGTTGTGGTCAGTATTGTGTGGTCGTTAGTATTGTCTGGTGGTCAGTATTGTGTGGTGGTCAGTAATGTGTGGTCGTCAGTACTGTGTGGTGGTCAGTACTGTGTGGTTTCAGTACTGTGTGGTCGTCAGTATTGTGTGGTGGTCAGTATTGTGTGGTCGTTGGTATTGTGTGGTGGTCAGTACTGTGTGGTGGTCAGTATTGTGTGGTCGTCAGTATTGTGTGGTCGTCAGTTATGTGTGGTGGTCAGTACTGTGTGGTGGTCAGTATTGTGTGGTGGTCAGTATTGTGTGGTCGTCAGTAATGTGTGGTGGTCAGTGTTGTGTGGTGGTCTGTGTTGTGTGGTGGTCAGTACTGTTTGGTGGTCAGTACTGTGTGGTGGTCAGTACTGTGTGGTGGTCAGTACTGTATGGTCGTCAGTAATGTGTGGTCGTCAGTATTATGTGATCGTCAGTGTTGTGTGGTCGTCAGTATTGTGTGGTCGTCAGTATTGTGTGGTCGTCAGTAATGTGTGGTGGTCAGTGTTTTGTGGTGGTCTGTGTTGTGTGGTGGTCAGTACTGTTTGGTGGTCAGTACTGTGTGGTGGTCAGTACTGTGTGGTGGTCAGTATTATGTGGTCGTCAGTATTGTGTGGTCGTCAGTATTGTTTGGTGGTCAGTAATGTGTGGTGGTCAGTACTGTGTGGTGGTCAGTACTGTGTGGTCGTTAGTAATGTGTGGTGGTCAGTGTTGTGTGGTGGTCAGTGTTGTGTGGTCGTCTGTAATGTGTGGTCGTCAGTATTGTGTGGTCGTCAGTAATGTGTGGTGTTCAGTACTGTGTGGTCGTCAGTACTGTGTGGTCGTCTGTACTGTGTGGTCGTCAGTATTGTGTGGTCGTCAGTATTGTGTGGTCCTCAGTATTGTGTGGTCCTCAGTATTTACTGTTATTAACTATAAACGTGATAGAGTCAATGTATTTGATTTTCCCAAACCTAATCAACGATTATTTTCTTTAAACATTGAAAAAAACTGTGTTGTTTAAGAAGGTAAATACCTTGGTAAGTATTTCATCACACGAGTAAACTAGCTTTGAAATCGACAAGAAATTGAGATTGCAAGCACACTGTTTTCCAAATCATATGTGGCAAAAATGGGTAATATTTCAAAAGGTTTAGTATTTAATTAAATAGACACCCATCCTTTTTTCTGTAAGCAACAGATCAGATGGGCCGGTTTTGCAATAAGAACACGAAATTATCAAATCCAGTAACAAGACAAGGCTGTCTAGCAGTGTTAACACTGTACAGATGTTCATGCATCAATTACCGATGCTTGCAATACACGATTATGCAATCAAACTATAAATAAATGACAAGATAGAGACGAAATCGAGTCTAGTGAATGCGTATTTATTCATCAAAATGATTGATCCTATTTAATGAGTAGGAAACTATCTGTAATGTAGACCAGGATAGAACTAGTAAACATGGGAAACATTCGCCTAATGGTACATGGTCATTCGTCGTGAAATCCATGTAAACCCGATAGATACTGACCGCAATGGACCGCTCGGCTAAGATACCTTATGTCGATCGGTCGAACATAAGATAAGTAAGCCAAAGATCCTGGTCTCCAAAAGGAGGTTTAAGATGTAATATCAACCATTAAATCCCAACTATAGTTGTCGCCATTTTGTTAAAAGAGCAGAACGAGCGAACACTAAACTGAGATAATATTAAGGAGTGTATGCCATTTTGTGTGTCAATTATACCATAAATTAAGGATAAGCCTCGTAAATGTCTATTAGTTAATTACGCAAGTTTCAAAATAAAGGTCCATTGCATAACTGCCAAGTCAGTCATAGAAAAATTATAATGCAGTACAGTTGAGGTTTTGGATCCATCCTAATTTTAATTGGTATTGAAAAAATTCTTATTCACTTTTATGTTTTTTGTACAATGTTAGAGATTGTGGATAAGAAATGCACCACTTTAACACCTCGAGATTGGCCATGCCCTGTACACCACAGGTTGATTCTTTCAAATGGAATCGTACAATATTTAGCTATTATGTATCTAATGCTAAGTTGATGTTGAAATGTATCATTCGCTTGAGTGCCCTTTCTACAATCCTTGTCACTTCTGTTTGCTTTCAGGCACCCCGATGATATTGACTTGTTTACTGGTGGCCTTTCAGAAATTAAAGTTAAAGGGTCGCAAACAGGACCAACGTTCGCATGCATCATTTCTAAACAGTTTCAGGCGTTTAAAATCGGTGATAGATTCTGGTACGAAAATGATTTCCCTGCCATCGGATTCAATAAAGGTAAGCATCACAAACAGAACAAACAAAAGCAGTGACATTACCACCGACTGATCGGCATGACGTATGTACAAATGGAATACACAGACTTTTAAACAAGATATAATAACGTAGGCGATTTCATTTTGACATTAAGACATCAATAGAATAACTAGAATAATTATGGAAACTATTCTGCATTTTGCAATGAATTAAAAGTCTTAGAACCAAATTATACATCATTTTAACTACATAAATATTTATTTTATGAAAGTCAATAGTTTTACAATAAGCAACAGAGACATATTTAAAACGAGAAATAATTATTTGTTTGATCAAGTTTATTGATACTGTGTACACACATCTTTTTATAGTTCACGGAGCATTAAGGACACCATTCATTGGTTTCAGATTTTAAACATGTAGGTTTGTAGTTAAAACTATCAATATTTCTTGACATAGATTTGCAGAATATTTCAATACGTACGGTTTTGTTTCAGGTCAGCTTAATGAAATAAAAGGTGTGACTTTGTCGAAACTTTTATGTACAAACATAGGCTTGCGACAAATCCAACCAAACGCTTTCCTTGTACCTTCCTTTAAGTAAGTATGCTGTATATATGCAAATTAAAAGCACGACATTTTACATTTCAGTGCGTTTTTGACCACATATTTGTATTCTTGATACAGAATATGGTATGACTATTGTCCATTGACTATAACACTATTGGTCAAAGGATATTGGTTGTCTGACCATTACCATGTGATCGACATGTTAATAATTAATTGCATAAAGCATAAAATATGACCACTGGTCAATGACCTTTGGTAAGCAATATGACTACTGTCATAAGGTTTGTTATGTTGACACACCTGGACCAAAAAGTTAAAAAGTCAAAATCGTATTCCCAAATACATTACGAGGTTGGATGCATTTCATAATATTTACTTGAAATGTTTAAGTGACTGTACAGTACACAATGAATTGTTCACATGAGTCATTATGCGTCCGAAGCTCTATTTTTCCTTCTTTCCTTCTATATTGTTATGACACATCCATCATGATCATATTATTCGTGAAAAAATATCGCACAAGCATATGCATATTGATAATTGCTATAAGCATACTTTTAGAAAGTGTAGACGTAATTTTTTAATTCAGTTGATGCTCAGATACATAATTGACGTCACATGTTGTATAAAAAATAATTGAAATCGAACGCCTTGAATTAAGTTATATTTGAATGCGTATTATTTTTCATTGATATATCATTTAGGTTATTGAACTCATAAAACCTGCCATCTAAATTTAATTTAACAGAAACGTTATATTAATCAAAATCTACTTGATCTCTCAAATTACTGTTTTTATATAGAGATTTATACCTTTTCTACAATTTCTAATCATAGCCAGACTTCCCAGTATATTAAAAGTGCTAGTATTCATTGATCAATCAACTATTGACATTATGTTATTTGATATAAATTCTTAGTAAAAGCTACATATTGTCATGATGAAGTTATACTTTGTTTTTATGTAACAGGAACCCTCTTGTCGGATGTGAGTACCTACCACACATTGACCTGAGTTATTGGATCGAGAGTGGCAAAAAGCAATATGATTCCTACCCAGGAATGGCTGTGAATCGTCGCATCGCACCATACAACATGGTGCCTTTCTGGACTTTCTCATACCTACCGAAGAATAAGGCGTTTCCAGCAATGTACGACAACATGAAATTTAATTTTAATGGTGATGTTTATTAGGGTGTTATATAACCGGTGTGTCGGACTGATATTGAACGTTTGAAAAATTTGTTTCAAATGGCAGTTCTGGGATTGAAAGACACTTTAAGTAGCTATAGGTAGAAACCGGTGTTTAGGACAAATGACAGGTGTTTAGTGCTTTATGGATGGTACGGCAACTTGTATCACAAGATAGATGTTAACTTTATGTGATGAACATGGCTTGGTGTCAGATCTTTTCTCCAAGTAGAAGGTTTATTTATTCCTTACTTGAATGTGTCGGTTAACATAGAATTATATCTGATTTGTTGTTAAAATGTCCCATTGTCAATTTGTTGCTGCTGTATTTCATTTTAAATGCAAATTTATACATTACTAGGAGATGGTTTTGTAATGATCAGATTTGAAATCAAAGATTAGAAATCGTCGTAGAGGTTTTGTTCCGGAAGATAAATTTGACAGTTTACGTCTCATGAGTTTCTGTTGGATTACACATAATTAACAAAGATTGTGATTTACCGAGAGTGATTTAAGAGGATAGGGCAGTATACCTGAAGAAAATATGCCCTTTTCATACACATTTAAAGAAACAGAATGTGTGGTGTTGTATCTCGCTAGGGATTTTCTTCTTAATTTGTTTTGGATTACTATCTAACTGAGGGATTGCTTGTTCGCTTGCAATGAAATATGTTAGAATACATATGACTGCATTTTCTACCATTTAGCATCTAATTGCAACAACGTAATCTTATCCATTATGCTACCCGTTCTACATGAAACGTGTTTATACATGTCGTACAAATGATATCTGAAGATTTATTATTGTTTATGATTAAAATGTTTAAGGAAATACAGTGTTCTGTTTTTATATTTTATTTTCTTGATCTAAGAACTTTGCAGTGATATGAAATAAATCGATGGAAGCGATTGTCTGACCATATCTACAAGAAAAAGTCACAGACTCGAACAAGCGACGTCCAAATACCTTTTCATGTCGAAACGCTTCTGGTTATCTTGGGAAAAGGCGATTTGGCCAACAGTCCAGTCTTCTGTTAGTGTCATGAATACAGTCTATGGAAAAATATCTTATGTTATTAGCATTGTACAGCTGGGTTGCTCAAATCTTTCTCACAAAATGGACCAAGAGATTTTTGCAAGAAATCTCCTGACCTGCAATTATACTTTCAGCAACCACATAAGAATATTCTTTCAGACACCATGTGTAAATGAAAAAAAAATTCGAAGTATTAGACATCTTTATTGCAAAAATTCATGCATCACTAATTAAAAACACGATCATCAAAAACTATATTTCAACCGATCGACATAACAGCACTGAAATGTTTTCCAGTTCATCGCGTTCTTGTGTTGCAATCCCCCCTTCCCCCCCCCTCCGATGAGAATGAACAAAATCGATAAGGACGTGGTGAACATATGGTAAAGGTGGGCACAAAAATTGAACTTCTCTTGAGCAATATCGGCTCTACTTTTTGATACCTGTCAAAAGGTGCATCTATTGAAGATGTATTTGAAAGGCTTTAATACCGGCAATAAAAACATATTGTTTTTTATGTCATCATTTCTTTGTTTGAAATGTAGTTTTGAATCACTCATCATTTACATGTTTCAAAACTGACTAGTAAATAAGGGTTAAATCCAATATTGAAAAATATGAAATGTATTTAATTATGACGTTATGCACTTTCCAATCCATATTTTTACATTTATTTCAACCATTTTAAATTTCCTCAATCGATTTTGTTGACAATTCGGTATTTCCTAGTTTCATCTCTTTAATGACTAATGGCAACTGAGAAAGGTAGATCCTATTCTGAGAAATGTTATTTATTTATATGACTTTATTACAAACATTAGCTACATTGACCTAGCTAACTGACATTCATTTTATTACATTGTGCCTTCACGAGACTGAGGCTATAAACATCGACAAGTATTAAAAGGAATTCGTTGATGACTAGGCCAAGGTGAAATACGTGGAGAGGTTGCTAGTGATTCACGAGCTGTATAATTAGATACAATCATTACATTATTGGCCTACACGCATGGTATCACATTCTAAATGCATTTACTACATGTAGGTGTCTTCAATCGTGACAATATGTAAACTAGAAGGAAATATTGAAATTTGAAAATATTTAATCCTCCCTCCTACTACCCTCACGCTTTTTAACCACGATTTTACGATTTCTTATTATCGTTCAATGTTTGCACTGATTACACCTTTTATACCCCTAAGGCTATTACAAATTAAACATTTTAAAACATTATTATGGGAAAAGAATTTGAACTCGGAGAAGAATTGTAATTCTGAATAAACACGATAAATTAGATATCTATTAGATCTAAATAATTTCTGTGTCATTAAAAACGTTTATTGGTATTATAATGTTAAACGTTATAAAAACAATGTACAATTTGACACCAGGATTTGCAGAAGAAAATTTTATAGTAGGTTTAAGAATAATTTATTGTCAGAGTGAAAAAATCTATATAAACAACGCCAATGATAAGGGATGTAATGTTATGAAAAACTGATTTGAGTTGCTCAAAAGAATGACTTTACTTAAAAAGAAATGCTTAGAACTTTGATTTGATAAATTTTGCCAAATTAAAATTGGTTACAAACAAATATTCCACGACTACTACTACTACTACTACTACTACTACTACTACTACTACTACTACTACTACTACCACTACTACTACCACTACTGTTTCTATTACTACTACTACTACTGCTACTACTACTACTACTACTACTACTACTACTACTGCTACTACTATTACTACTACTGCTACTACACTACTACTACTACCACCACTACTGCTACTACCACCACTACTGCTACTACTACTACTACTACTACTACCACCACCACCACCACCACTACTACTACTACTACTACTACTACTACTACTACTACTACTACTACTACTACTACTACTACTACTACTACTACTACTACTACTACTACTACTACTACTACTACTACTACTACTACTACTACTACTACTACTACTACTACTACTACTACCACTACCACTACTACTACTACCACCACTACTACTTCTACTACTACTACTACTACCACCACTACTACTTCTACTACTACTACTACTGCTACTACTACTATTACTACTACTACATTCATATCAAAATGTGTTGTTTACATTTGTTTGACTTGGTAATGGTAACATCGGGACGTATTTTGATATAAATTGTAGTGTATTAAAAACAAAATTACAAAAGAACCATGTACATGTTTCATAAAGAATAAATCCCCGAAAGAAAAAAACATTTAATTAACTCAATGGGGTGTAGGTAGTACACCAAATCTCCCAATTATCAATGAACGACCTTTGACCTGTAAATAGTCATCAATCTAGGTGTTTTATCTTTGAAATATAATTAATGAATTTGTGAATATAATAACAGGTAAATATAGAGTGATTCCTAGCCATATCAGTCAACAGTAAACACGATCATCCGCCCCGATCGTTTTCATGTTCTTAAGAAATACACCATTGGTGGTATATGCTCTCATAAACCTCAAATGGAAATTTTAAAACTGAAAGTTACTTGAAACAGTCGATACAAATAAGATTGTAACGGGTTGCTCTAAGATGTTAATTCGAATATCAAAATAAGAAAAAATATTAACGATCAAGTCGACTTAATGGTACGGTAACAACAAACAGTAGTTTTAACACCTGTTTTTTTCTCACTTCCGTGATTTCTCGTGCGTTCTTATGAAATAACTTGTGATGAACTAAACTACATTAAGAACTCCTATAAAATATGTTGATCAGAATCATGTTACAAATTTACAAAAGTACACGATGCAGTCTGATTCAATTCTTTATTTTCAAAATACCAGTTATGTTCTGAATGTGATGATGGTATCGCAAAATAGCCCCAACTAAATGGGTTTCGCCCTCTGGAAAATTCCGTACAACTTTCTAGAAAACATCAATGATAACGTGTTGCACCCAAACCTTCGTATCAAATAACTGTTTCCCTGATTCCTGTAAATGCGATGTTATGAAACAGATTGACCAATCCATACATATATATCTTGTGGGTTGTAAATATATTTTTTCCGTCAAAGAATCCCATGGAAGTTGGTTTTCAGGTAAATTGTGAGTATATATATATCCAATCTCAACATCAAAAATCATCGTAACGGTCCTTAACAAGAAACAGGAACAGAATGAATGTTCTTTTTCAGTCAATTGCTTTATGTAAGTATTTCTGATGTTATCGTATTTATTTTCTGGCCTTTTTCGGTATTATATATCTATCTTATGTCACGTAAACAAACAATTATCGCCACGATACCTTCTTGTCATTTCCTTTCAAATGGATATATAGTCTTATTTTCCATGTACTTGTTTTCATGAGTCTCATTGCTAATTTTTCTTTTGGTTTTGTTGAATTAGTGTATGAACTAATTCTTTCCTTTTTTGTGAGATAAAATTTCAAAAATATTTTCACTCACTTTAATAGTCTACTTAAATATCAGTCATATTTAAAGATTCTAAATGTAAAGCACTTTTAAGTTTACATTTTTCATAAGTTAAACCAATCGATAAATTGCAATTGCTATAGAAGGTCAGAGAAACAGTTCCGTGAACATCAACAATTAAAAATCTTCTACAGTATCAAATAAATGATTTTTCAGCTTATAACATCGGTGCATTATTGTACTGATTCTGAGAAGTATAATGCGTTTAACGTTTCATTAGCGAATTTCAAAGATAGAATCTACAATTGACAACGGTAATGAAAATCCGAAATATGAAAGTTTCATACTCCTCACGATCACCACACACAAGCATTAGTGTCCCTGGAAAATTGCGGTTCAGTGCAACCATGTCCTTTAAAATGTAGCTGTAACGTTTCGTCATTTTATTTTGTGTGGTTTTTTTTGTCAGTGGTATTGCAAAACTTGATAACGATTACCAGTTGCCATCGTGATGAATGCTTCACACAGCTGTAT